CTAAAGAAAGAGTTAACATTTAGTATGCAGCAGTGTAGCTGGAACTTACAAATGTAAACCAGTGGTAATGGGTAAGAGCACCAATCCCAGAGCTCTGAAAAGAGTAAAATCCTTACCTGTGATTTATACGAATAATAAAAATTCCTGGCTCTCAAAACAACTTATGACTGAATGGTTCATGGTGCATTTCATTAAAGAGGCTAGAAGGTATTGTAACAGTGTGGGGTTACCATCAAATTACAAGATTGTCTATTGTTGTACTACTGCTTTGTTTTTTTTTTTTTTTTTTTTTTTTTTGTGTTTTTTTTTTTTTTTTTTTTTTTTTTTTTTTTTTTTTTTTTTTTTTTTTTTTTTTTTTTTTTTTTTTTTTTTTTTTTTTTTTTTTTTTTTTTTTTTTTTTTTTGTTTTTTTTTTTTTTTTTTTTTTTTTTTTTTTTTTTTTTTTTTTTTTTTTTTTTTTTTTTGTTTTTTTTTTTTTTTTTTACACATTTTTTTTTTTTTTTTTTTTTTTTTTTTTTTTTTTTTTTTTTTTTTTTTTTTTTTTTTTTTTTTTTTTTTTTTTTTTTTTTTTTTTTTTTTTTTTTTTTTTTTTTTTTTTTTTTTTTTTGCATCCAGATGCAACCATTTAACATGTGATAATGTTATGGTCCTTTTTTTGCCCCCAAATACTACATCATTGATCCAACCAATGGACCAGGGCATAATATACAGTATTAAATGTCACTTATAAATCAGAATTTCTGAAAAAAAAATCTTTCAAGTGACCAGTCTATTCCACTTTGTGATTATATAAAAAAAAAAAAATTCCCAATCAAAGACTGCATTTATTTGTTAGCTGAGTCATGGAATTATATTTCCCAAACGACATTAGTAAATGCCTGGCATAATGTATGGCCATCTTCTCTGTTTATTGAAACTGAGAGTAATGACAGCGATTTTTCAGGTTTTAGGATCAGTGCAGCAAGGGTTAAAGCAAGAGAATTGTTTTTATATTCGAAAGAAAGAATAAATGAGGACGCTTTGCAAGAAGAAAATATTGCTGAATGGATGGATGTGTTCAGATGAGCTAACACTGGCATATCAGATGACTGATGAAGAAATCATTGGCTCTGTTTTAAACTCGCCACAGCAAGAAGACAATTCAGACACTGACACAGATAGTGAATTTGATAAAAGTGAGAAAATATCTTTTAATCAGGGTCTGGAACATTGTGATAAATACCTAAAATTACGACTCTATTTAATTTACAAAAAAAGACTTACTCTGGAGCACCCTAAAGTTTTAAAACAAACCTCCATCAGAAAAATGTTTGAAACAAAAAAAATTGAATATTTTATGCTTTATTAGTATCCCTTATTTTTATATGTCTGTTGAATACATCCCTAATGCTTTTAAATATCCCTTTAATCACCAATGTAAATAAATAGTATTGAACTTTCGATTATGTCAAAAAGAGTTTCCAATTCTGGAGCTGCCAAAGGATCTACAATGTTTCGATGTCAATCAAACAAAAAGTGGAATTGCTGCAAAAAATGGATAAAGGCATGAATGAAGAAAGTGACAGAGAGGTTAGTGAAAACGAAAAAATTTCTATTGACAAGTTAGTCGGTATTCTCGGCACAGCAATTACAGGACTTGTACAGTGGAACTTTGTAACTGAACAAGAAATTATGTCTGTTTATAGAATTAAAGAGAAAGTATTAGCACAAAAAACAAAGCAACTTAAACAACTTGCAAGGAAAGAAATATTTAATAAAGTAAACAAATAAACATTAAGCTTTTTTTTCGTAAAATTTGGTACCCTTTAGATCATAATTGCTCTTTATTTCATAAATTATGGTTTCATATTTTTAATTGTATAATTTCAGCATGCCATCTTACCAAATTTAAATTGATGATCTATAATCCGGAAAACCCCTAATCCGGAACTGAAGTCCCGACAAGTCCGAATTACGGACTTTGTACTGTAATATATGTAATAATTTAAATAAATGTATCTAATATGCCTTATTTATTTTGCACTTTTATTCTGAATATTACGATTTATCTTTTCTGTACTGAAATCTGCAAAATCCTATAATCCGCACAACCTCTGGTCCCAAGCTTTGCGGATTTCTGGACTTCTACTGTATTAGCATGCAATAATTTGTCTATTAGGTTTTGAATTTCAGTATTATCTTTAGGGAATGCTCTATATGAGCAATAAGCAACTGGAAGTTCTGAACTCAATATTAACACAACCTATATAATATTTACTTTTTGCAAATATATGATTGTAGTTATTTAATAAACCTTGTAACTGGTTATTTGCACAGGAATTTTCACACTTATGATTTGCAACATGATTAACATAATCTTTTTCATTTTGAACATTTTCACATAAATATAAGAAATTATTCTTAAGAGGATTATTCTGACATACATCCTTACTTATATTTCTTTTATACATATCATGACACACATGTATAAGAAAAATGATTTAATAAGTAAAGTTCAATTTCAGTTTAAATAAGGTAACACAAGCTAATAATAAATAATTTAAATGAGAGTTAACATCATAAAATATTTCTGCCTATTTTTCTAACGTTACATGACAATTCAATTAATTTGTAACAGAAATACCTTCACATAAAGAGAATAATTTTTTTCAGATTCCATTTTTAATTGTTTTCAAATTATCAATACATTTTAAAATATTTTCAGAAATTATCAAAAAGAGCAGGAAAGTTATCATTCCATATCTTAACATTAAACTTGAAATACCGTCATTTTTTGGATAAAATTTGATTTTGATAGGAATCAAACTAGGTTGGTTGGAAAAGGTTGAAATAGGTTGGAATAGGTTGAAGACAATTGAAGGCAGGATACTGAGAATTTGGATGTCTCAACTGCAGTGGCTGAAACATTTCTCCAGACTGGATTTTGAGGCAAATAAGACATAGGGTAAAATGGTCTTACAGTACGATACCTTGAATAAATGGAAATTCTCGTACAAATGGAAATAAGCTTAATTTATTCGCTGAAAGCCGAGGCAATACGCATTAACAAGCAGATCAATGACATTAAAGCATTTAGCTGTAAGCCTTACATCATCTCCAAAATTACTCATTAAAAGCATTTGATAACACAAGCAAGTTTATTTTTCATACATTACTTTGAATTTATTCCACCAGCGACTGAAACGTTAGGCATGCAATGAGTTAAAAAATTAATTTCAGGTTAATTTTCCATTAAAATCTCACGATAAAGGCGAAATTCCTCTTGGCTCTATGTGATGCATTTTTTTTTCTTTTTAAGATGAAAAAAATTCATTGTTTAGTCATGGTAGAGAGAAATTGCAGTGCAGATGACTGGAAAGAAAATCATACCTGACTTGATCTTACACCATTTTTTTTCTAACATAAAAATTCTTCCAAAACACATTTTTACTTAAATTACTACCACACTAGGGATGCTAAATATGCCTCACAATTTCTATAGGCAGTTTACATTTTAAACCACAAAGAAAGAAGGCCAAGTGAAGAGACATCATTTACTCCTATTGTAGCAGCAGGCGAGAAAAAATGAGGCCTACTAACTGCAGTCATATTATTAAGCCGGAAACTCTTTGTTTCGATACTAGTAGTAGTTGAGCTAGTGATTCTGTAGTGCAGAAAAAATTCAGGGAAAGAGTGATGTAACATGATCACAGCGTCACGAAAAATTGGTGCAAAATGCATCGTTGAAGTGGGGATGTGTTTACCTAAAATTTATGAATTTAAAGGTCTATTGTCAATTGGTTCCAATTAAGTTTAATAATTTTGTTTTATATATCATATTTTGTACATATATAGGATGTCACTCATTTCTTACTTAAATGCAGGAAGACTTCTAGAAACTTTATTTAAAAATCACACGAAAGAGATATTTCACAAATATTTACTGCTTTTTACCAACACGTATCTAAATTATACTTCTTGCACGACGAACAGATTCATAAACCAATGAAGAGAATACATAACAATTGTGTTTGAAACCAGATACAATACTAGTAATTAACAAGCAAAAGGAATAAAAAAGAATGCAAAGGCTGCAACACAACACTCAAATATAGCATGACATAAACACTCACATCTGAACTACAAAGATGATTCACAACTTTCTACATATAAGCTCTGAACTAGAGAAGTTTTCAATGCTTCAGTATAAATCTCCAGACCTTGATGATCAATGGGATTAAGTTTCAGTGAAACAGATGTCATGCAAATCCATGACAAAATTTTAAAATGTTTAAGGTCCTCACGTACTTCACAAAAAATATGGCATGAAAGAAAGTTTGTTGTCAGCATAGAATCCAAAACATTTCACTTCTGGCCGGAGTAAAAGGTTTCCTCACTTTAATGAAGCAATGCTTCAGACTCCATTTTTTATATTTTTACACAGGGCAAGCCGTAACTACCTCTCAATGTATTACATGTCAATCCCATACAAGTTATGATTATATCATTGACACATAATTTACCAATGTCTGTCACGTGAAGCATTTTTAAAAGAAAATTTATTTTTAGACTAAATAGCAGGATACTCAGCAAGCGCCCCTGAGGTACATCTCAGTGATAGAAAATGCTGGATGTTAAAGAATCAAACTTAACTTGAAAAGTCATGGTTTTAAAAATATTTTGAGTAAAAAAGGGTAGATTTCCACATACAGTCAAGGAAGTCAAACAGAATTCCATATTTCCATGATTTATCATATGATTTACTGGAAGAAACATTTAAAACAATGATTCCTCTAATGTCTGACGACAGAATTCAATGATAAGCAATAATTGAAGTCTTCATTTTCCAAGGAATGGCAAAAATAACTCATGAAACCACATGCAGTAGTATCGAACATATCCGCTTAAATGATACAGGCTTGCTACTTATTTTTCTCATTTGCTTTTGCACCCTGTATGAATTCAGCCATTTAATTAGCAACAAAACAACTATATTAAAAAAATTATAGAAACAATGCTTACCCATAATTTACTTTCATGAAAAAATGCCTCTTTTAATCCTACTATGTTTGGATGTCGACATTCTGTTAAAATGTCAATTTCTACAGTAAAATCATCTAGATCATCTTCACCTTTCAGTTCACATATTTTTGCAGCTGCACAGTCTTTACTTTCTTTATTTAAAGCCTAAAATTAAAAAATTCACACTAGCTACTAGTTATACAATTAAAAGTATAATGTAAAGTATAAAGTGAATAATACAAATTAAAACTACATTAGTTTATATAGTTTTAGTGAAGCTTTCCCATTTATTAAGTTATCCACTTAGAGAAGACCATAGTCACTTTAGCCCCCCTTTTTTTTAACTGTCATGATATTAAGACTATGCATTTTGACAAAATTTTACTGATCATTTTAAAGACACATATGTAGATAATACACTGATGGAAAATGAGATCTCAACACCAAGAAAGAGTTGTGCTAGGTGAATGAAATTTGGTAGGCATGTTTGCACATCCGAAAGATGACATGTACTCTAAATGAACAAGTGAGACACTAGTAGCGCCATTATGAACTTGCAAATTAGGTTTGCTTTAAATACATGATGTAAACTTCAACTGCTTTATTCGTCTTTCAGATTGGGCACTGTGAGTGAGATTTGAGTCAAGAAAGGTTTTAAAGAAACAAAGAAAGCAGTATCAACAGCTTATTGCGTTTAAACAAGCTGTGCAATAAAGTTAAGAGAAGGTGGATTGTCTTTTCATGATATTGCAGAAAGACTCGACACGTACGTATTCACATTGCATGCTTGTTGGCAGCAGTAGGCATGGGAAGTCAAAAAACTGGGGTCCGGCAGGCAATACACATACAGCCATTCAAAAGAAAGACCATCATATTTGCCACACGTCTGTGGCACATTGCAGTGCACCTGCAGCAGACATTAGAACTTATGGTGACACTGCAAAGTGTAGCAAATTCATCAGTTAAAGGGATAGGTTCGAGCCAGATACCCTGTAGCCTGCCTTGGCCTGCAAGGTCACCCAATCTTTCTCCCATCAAGCAAATAAAAAACATGATTGAACAACAAATATCACTTGTATATTACACAAAACCAAAATAACAAGACAAAGAATTGCACAAACTTGGTATCCATGTACACATCGACCTATTTTCACTTTAGAAAAAATCAGAGAATTGCACAAACTAGGCTTTGTGCACTTCCTTGACTTTGTCCATGTACACATCGAACTATATTAAGTAAAAGGAGCAGCTAACAATAAATATACAAGCTCAATAAACTACATTTTAAATCAAACAATGAAATGACATAAAAAAAGGAAATTCATGTTTGCACTACACAAAGGTTATATCCACTTACCTTATTTACGAATTAACACGTCTTCAGTCAAACAAAATTCCTAAACAGCATCCAAAAACTTCCTATAATTATCTAAACTAGAATCTGTATACTGGCCTCGCCACATAAATTCACAAAATAAGAGTAAAAAATATCTTCCGTAACGACGTTTGACCATACGCATTTCCGACGTTCGACCATATGCATTTCCTTCCTACAAACAGGACACCTAATAATGGCTACTAAGTAAACCTTCATTTACACACCAGTCAAGTAATGCTCTTTTCCCCTTTCTTTCCAAATCATACAGAAACTTCAAATTAATCTTACCATGTTTGGCCATTTTACCATCTAAACCAGCGGTTCTCAAGCTTTTGACTAATGTGTACCATCTAAACAAAAGTTGAAAACCTTTAGTACCACCACTACAAAGTACTACTATCACCACCACTCTTGAACAAAAGATCGCATAAATTTACGAGTATTAGAGGAAAAACTCAATCAGGATGTTGGGGTTTTAATTTTTGAATTTAAGAGTTAAAAATACTTTGCTTTCTTAGTTTTGTGGACATATTTTAATTCTAGCCAGAGCACACCGGAGCCCTAAAAAAGAAAGCTCCGGCACTTTTTTTATGTAACGAAACAATTATTTCAGTAGAAATTTGATCTAGAAAAATTTTATTTTTAGCAATAAAATTATGTAAAAAAAAAATCGCTTATTAAATTTTTATTTATCACTTTACATTTTAATAATTATTTAATTACTTTGATCTTTTATTATTTTAATAAATAAATAATAAATTAATTAAATAATAATTATAAATTAAACAATACATATTAATTATTAATATCAATTAAATAATAATTTAATTAATTTGATACTCATTAACTATTTAATTTTTCAACTTATTAATGATTTTAATAGTCATTTTATTTATTTATTTATGCTTGTTCCTCTTTCCTGATGGTCTTCCATAGGGCTCCAGCACTTCTACTTTTAGAAATTAAGCCCTGCCACAAGCCCTTATGAATTTACCGCAATCATAGAACCGATTACATCATAATAGGGTTTCCATACCATTCAACTACTCAGGCTACCATAAATGAAACAACTACTTGGCAATAAATGAAACAACTTAGCAATAATACAAGGGGTCCCCTTCTCTCTACTCTAACCCATCCTTGTTTACATGCTTGCATTTAACATAATGGTGACTATAGCGCTTATTGATGTACCACCCTTCCACATTTGAAATGGCTCTTCTTGTACATACTTATGACCTTGAAACATTAATCACATAAATATGTTACCTACACAAATGCTTTACCTTTTTATTCCTCTAAATTAATTTTTTCTAAATATTAGGTTTTTGTTTTCCATCAGTGCATTTTAACTAAATATGTGCTTTACTTTTAATTTTGTAAAACCCCATAGTCTTTCTTTAAAAATTGTAAGTTCTTCTTCCTGACTTAACCCTTTCGGCTCCGTACGAACATATAGATTCCAACGCATAACAAAACTGGGTGCCAAAGGGTTAAATACTTTCTATTTATCAGCACATCCCAAAAAATATTAATGACATCATATGACACCAAACTATGTAACTAAGTAACCCATGACATCATCAAAACATGCTTATGTGGGAACCTAGGTATGCATGCACGCACAGCAGAGGAGTGCTGATATCCACTAAAAGTGATGTTTTTGGCTTCAAATTTGATGGTGTTTTGTACTGAGAGTATTTCTGTTTTCCACATGAGGATTCTTAATGGGATTGTGAGGTTTGCCAGCTCATACAAAAGAAAGTGCTACATTTTTTCAGAAATCTGCCATTTTGTCTAACAGTACAGAATGACAAAAAATTTTAATGCTACAGTCAAAAGTCGTTAATTCGGACACCCATAATTCGGAATGTTCTATAATCCGGACCTCAAAACTAAAAACTTTCTGCGCATGCGCCGCGTTGACACATGCGCATAGGTGTTTACGCGTGCGCGTAAGACCTTTTACGACTGCGCATATGAGTGTGCGCAAGTGCAGAATACGTTTTCGCGTGCGCGTTTTATGTATAATGGATGTATAAGCTAAAATTATTTAATTATCTATTTCAGTTAATGTTGATGATTGCGTTGTTCCTTAATTTTCGAATTGGATCCGGCTTATTATTTTTTGCAGACTGTAATGCAATCTTATAAAAGTAAGCTTAAACTTTCGATTATATCAAATAGAATTTCCCATATATATTTGTTAATATGTAAAGGATCTAAAGCGAAAGTATGTTTTGAAATCCGAAATCTGTTTATTAATTTCACGCTGCTCGGCGGGGCAACGCCGCCCGGCGTAATGAATTGGAAGTTGATCTGTCAACACTATCCTTATCTTCAGGGCAGATGTTTTTATTTTATTTGGCTTATAATTCCTTACCAAATTAGTATTTCATCTTGATGTGCTCCGTCTTTGATATGATTTAAAACAAATTCCTCGTCATTATAATTCGCTTCTTCCGATAGCGAAGAAAGTGACAGAGGTTAGTGAAAACGAAAAAATTTCGATTGACAAATTAGTCGGTGTTCTCGACACACAGCAATTATAGGACTTGAACAGCGTAACTTTGTAACTAAACAAGAAATTATGTCTGTTTAATAGAATTAAAGAGAAAGTATTATCACATGAAACGAAGCAACTTAAACAACTTACATTGAAAGAAATGTTTAATAAAGTAAACAAATAAATATTAAGCTTTTTCTTTTTGCAAATTTTTGATACCCTTTAGATCATAATTGTTCTTTATTTTATAAATTACGGTTTCATATTTTTAATTTTAGAATTTCTGCATGCCATCTTACGAGATTTAAACTGATGATCTACGAGGGCTATCCAGAAAGTAGATTACGTTTTGGAATAAAAAAATAAACAAAGTATAGGAAACAAATTTTATTATATACAGATGAAAGCCACACTCAAATACTACTTTTCTACATAGTCACCATACAAATTAAGGCATTTATCGTAGCGATGTACGAGCTTGGAAATTCCTTCGTCGAAAAATTCGGCCGCCTGCGCCTTCAACCACTTCGTTACCTCTTCTTGCCTTCCATCTTGCACAAAACTTGTGGTAACCAAGCTTTTCGCTGATGATTTCGTGCAACAAACTTCGTGAAATTTGTGGAAAAGTCAAAGAAAGTTCCGTTATTGTGAAATTTCGATTTTCACGGACTTTAGCATCGACTTTTTTTCGACTTTTTTTTCGAGAAGTTCGGCGGTCACTATGCTGGGTCTCCCACTTCGATCTTCGTCGTGAACATTGGTTCGGCCATTTTGAAATCTTATGACCCACTGACGCACTCCACCTTCAGTGATAATGTTGTCCCCATACACTTCACGAAGCTGCCGATAGATTTCTATCGGTTTTACAGTTTTTTGCAGTCAGAAACCTTATTACTGAGCGCACCTCGCAGCTCGCGGGATTTTCAATTAACGCAGACATTTCAAACCATCACAGTATCTGAACGGAGCACAGCACGAACCTCTCACTAGCACGGCTAGATGCAGACTGAGCTGCGCAACGCTCTGACCCCAAGATGGCCGCGCTAGCCCCGCCCCTAGCGGACACAGACGGAAACGTAATCTACTTCCTGGATGGCCCTCGTATAATCCGGAAAAATCGATAATCCGGAATTGCCGAAGTCCCGACGAGTCCGGATTAACGACTTTTGACTGTATTAAGTTGTATTTCATAAATGTAGATGCAATGTAGATTCACCTCCTAACAGTGCATCCTGGTAATATAGAAATATAGCTAAGTGATCTCAGCATGTGTCACCTACA